GTGTGTGTGTGTGTGTGTGTGTATTTATATATATATATATATATATATATATATATATATATATATATATATATATACATGTATACATATAATGAATTGATTATACTTATGCGGGCTAATTTTTATCATGTTAATTTTAGTGCGCAATGGCTCACATTAGCAGGTGTAGTCGAAATAAACAGAATGAGCTCAATTGGTGTATTTTCGTTTATACTGGGTTCGGGTCCTATCGACTCGTAGTTGACCCGCGTCTCTGGACCGCACTATTCACTTGTGTAGGATGCTGGATAGGCAGCATGCCAGTATACTGCTGAGTGTTAAGCTCGTATTCAGGCTAACAGTGTATTGAGAATCTTTGGGAGAGCATAACGATGCTCGTGGGTGATTTTGTATTTGCGACAACATTCGGTGTAGAAAATTACACTGGTTTCGCGCCCTTAATATGTTCATGTATGATTTTTCAGCTTGTAATAGCGTTAGTTAACTGCCACCAATCTTGCGCTCAGACTCGCAGTAGAGCCAACTCTGAACCCAGCCTATTTGGGATAGGTATATGCCATGCTAGCTAGGTGGTATATATGTGTATAGAATCGAAAACTAGTACGAGGAATGGATAGAGAAGCGTGTGAGGGTGTATATTATCTGGAATTGCTCAGACGACGATGAAACAGATGAATAATGATCTCGGTACCTGACAGATGAATAATGATCTCGGTACCTGAATGACATGATATGAAAACTGTCGCATACTTGCAATGTACGAAGTTTGTGTGGCGAATTAACATCAAGAGTTCTACTACTGGTGTATTAAGGGCTCAGCCGGTGCTTTAGACGCGTGCTAAACCCCGCCAACCAAGAGTCGCGACGCACTCGGCCCAACGAAATGTATTAAGAAAAGCAGCCATTTGCGAATGTGCATATATTAGTGTGTGTGCGATAGTGCACGCAATTGTGTATGTGCTGACTGATTAATATTGAACGCTATGAAGCTATTACTATGATATCGCTCAGATAGAACGACCGATCGATATTTTGATATAATGTTGTATAGGTGGTTCAACTGCACAATGAAGATATGATCTGTCACACTGAAACACGAAAAGAAGCCCTTGTAGGCGTGCCGTAAGCGTAGGCCTATATCCGATTGATTCAAGAGATCATTTGTGGTGTACCGTATTGTCTTAATATATTAGCTACGGGTAAATTCGCACAATGTGAATCAATAATAATTGTATTTCGTGCCTGGTAAAGTTAAGTATGTCTCTAAGAAAACCTTTATTAATAAAAATATATCTACATCCGGGTAATCTGTGAATGAACTGTGCACTGTATGCATGTAGCACCCCCGCTACATCATATACACCTAGAGGTCTAAAGGCATCTGGAGTTTTTACTAAATAACTCCGTTCGAGATGCAATGCTGCGACGCTGGGTACCTATCAGTTGAAACATGCGCCCACGGTTCAGTTGTCAGTTGTTTAGAGACCTATCAAGTGAGAACAGTTTACAAAAAGTGCAACTAGAGGTCTACACGCAATTGATACAAGTCACGCTCTACCAGATACGTTGCAGCGACACCATAGTTGTATGCCTAGTAGCCTTACTGGTAAAAACGTACCAATTGAAGACATGCGCCCACAACTCTGTTGGCAGTCGAATCGACATTTATCTGATAGACCTTGTCTACCACGCAGAATGCAATAAATTCACCTATGCCGACAGCTCGATTCAAATTCCGGAAAGTGATGAAATGGAATTTTAATGATACATATATATATATATATATATAATACATACATACTCATAGTTACATACAACAGATGATAAGAATGATTGCTCCGTCCTGCTCTAATATTTATTATTTGTACATTCCTAAATTCAATCCAAAAAACCGTTGAACGTATATTCAAAAATGATCAATTTTTTTTTTACGTTTAAATATTTGTTTTTTAAGAAGGCTATGGTTTGAACGTAAAAAAGACATTTGTTTTACTTTTTGTTTTTTGTTTTTAAAAACCAATTGTTGAGGATGTAAAATAAAGTGTGGCCGCGGGGCTCTCTCGGAAAACATCGATCCCCCTTCTCAGCCTCTCAGGAGATTGGGAGTGTGGGAATTGGGATTAGGGACCCCTCCCACTGCGGAGTGCAGAACTGCAGACAGTGCAGAGTGCAGACTGCAGAGTGCACTGTGTAAATATGAGGCCCGCAGAGGCCAGAGGCCAGGCCAAAGGGTCATGAGAAAATTTACACACATGAAATCAGGAGTTTGCCTCCACTATGTGTATATAGTAGACAACCCCCTGGGGAGAATAAACTAATTAGTTACCCCCTCAGCTTTCCTGGTATTTACGTTTTCAATGTCAGAGTTTTATGAAAATGTTTCAATTGACCGAATATGAGGTCGCAAATAAGTTAAGGGGTGGTTTGAAGATCAAATACATGGCAGTGATAATAGGTGTACATATATTTATTCATTTTTTACTATGTACACTGTACAGTAAGCCTGTACATAGTCTGTACAGACTATGGTACAGGTAATACTTGTTACTCAGTCACTTATTCTGGAACTCTACACGCCTTTGTCTTGTTTAGGTGACTAGCTAAGCTAGAATGTTTTTTATTTTATTTTAAAGTTATGTATGAAGAATTGAAAGTCGAAATCGCTATTTTCACTATGTACTTTGTAGTTCAATTTAGAAAGCATGGGAAGACACGCGACTCCAGAATCCCGCCAAAGCATGTTTGTATATGCAATAAAAAGAACAATTACCATATGCAAATATAAATCAATTTTTTTCAAATCCTCTCGAAATTAGAATGTATACAAAAACGTACCCAGATTGTAAAAATACGTACCATCCTTTCAATTTTACCGTGTGAATAAAAAGTCCTGCAGGGGTATATTTATTTTTTAACCCACCTCTATTTAGTATTTACACACAACTAGACTGCAGTTGTTGTTGTTTTTTATAAAAAAAGGGCGTATTAGTCCTCTAAATTGCTATTTTTTATAAAAATAAATAAATACAGTCTGTTTATATGTATGTAAATACATAAATACTAAAATAAAAATAGCATAATAGCATAAACGTTTTCTTTCTAAAAAACGACAAAAACTCCAAAACAACCCGATTCGCGAAACGAGCTGGTAAATATGTACTGAGGTAAATAGATAAAAGCCACACGGAAGTTGGTTCAATTGTACATATGAATGTATATAGTAGTGTTGAATGCACAATCACCGAGTTCAAAAGTGAGCTGCATAGAGCAGACCAACGCGACCATTATTCATCCGCTACCGTCAATGACTATCGTACACGTCTGAATTATGGCGATAAACGATAGACCTGCCATAGGTACACAAAATGCCACTCAAGGTGAACCCGCCCAAGAGGGAGGTTCAATTGTTGCGGACGATGCCCTCTCTATTTCAGATGGTGACCATGATGTTGAAGATTATGGGAGCGATTCAGATTCAGACTCGGCTGAAAGTACCGCGAAGCTCGATCTCTTAGCTACTGCTGTGCATGTGAACAACTTTGAGGACACCCCGTCAGACTTCTCCATAGAGGACGAGAGCTTGGAACCAAGCTTAGATGTCCAAGCTACACACACTCAACTAACCGAATATACTACTACCAAAAAAGAGGCTGTCGAGGGTGTTGTCAATAAAGACGACATCATACGAGAACAGGAGGTGGTTATGGACAAGTACTTTGAGACCTTTGAGACCTACCAATGTAATGTGCGCAGTAGACAGTGCTGTATCAAGTCCTTGCGTACCTTGAAGAACATGAAGCGGTGTGCCAAATCGAGCGATGACTGTACTATTACCAATGCCATTGGGGGCATACCCAGCTTCCTCAAAGCGAGTCTAATGTCCAGTAAAACACCAATGTATATGGTCAAAGAACTATCCTCGGATCTGCTGTCGGATACTGCCTCGGCTGCTAGCACTGCCAGCGATACAATCCACATGACCGAACCCGTAAGCAAAGCAAAGCGCATGTCTTCTGGGGTGATGAAGTGTGCGGCATCTAGCGGCAAAGATCTATTGTCATTTACTGCTAAGACTGGGAAGTCTATAGTGCACCATACAAAGGCTACTGGGAAGGATATCACAGAGGCATCTATAGATAAGATACAGGATGCTATCGCATTAATACACACTGACTCGAAAGGGAGTCTTTCAGACTCAAAAGCAAATCCTTCCACTGCGTATGATCCTAGCAAAGAAAACAAAGGTCAAGCCCAACAAACCGTGCCTGTACAGGAATCTCAGGCACCTATTCGCACAACGAAATGTGAGAGAATTCGAAGTAAGGCTAACAAACCTGCAAAGTACGCTGTCGATGTGGTGCTTGCTGAAGATGCAGTAACGAATACTGTCGTTGATGTTGACCAGCTGTCGAGCACAAGCTCAGAGGCCTCGCTGTCAGATAGTTCGTCTCTGCCAGCGGAGAGCACCGAGATTGACTACCCAACCGAATATGACCCAGAACTGGTTGAGTTGCTAGTCAGGTATGTGTGTGTACGTGTTAATGACGGCGTTATTGGAGAGTGTTGTGTGTATTTGTAATGATGTGACGAGTATTGAACGGGGGCATTTGATTTGACAAGGGTATATTGCGCAGAAGTTCTAGTGTCTCTTAAGTATCGTTTTAGAATGTGCGGACAACATAGCGTTATATAAGTTCTGCGAGCGGACTACTTGCTTAGTGAGCGCTGCTTAGAAGCCGATACATATCTCACATAGTCAGATCATGTTCGCGACATCGAACAGATTTGTGTACGCATGACATCTGTTTCAGTTGGATATCGGCGGTCAGCTGGGTTGTGCTCCTGTGTTTGTAAAATCGAAATCGTGCTAGACAGTGGCGAGTATGTGGAACGATTGGTGTTGAAATTGAATTGTTAAAGATTGAATACAAGTGAGTGCTTGTGGTATACGCATCCGAGATTGTGAATCTAGGTCTGCCGAACACGCCGCGCCATCTGTACAGCGGCGCATACACCACAATATTATAGACAACGCTTAGCAACCCAAAGGGTTGATACAAATTTGTTGTCTCCGTCAGTATGACTGAGTACATATCTAATTTATTAGGATTACAAGCATGTGCCTGAATATGCGAGGGTGATGTATATTATTGGTAGACAAAAAAACTAAGCTGTATTGGTTTTTTCTATATTCTCGAGAGTTGTTCTGTCGCATATACCGCGCGTGCGCATAATAATTATTTTCTTGTCTCTACCAGCTACATATAAGGTCAGCTACATACAAGGTCCAAGCACGGCATGTGTGTTGCGACATAGTGGTCTTATAGTATGCGATGCATTACTGTACGCAGTCTCATTGCTCAAATTTGAATCATCTGCTATCATACAGATACACAACTTCGGCCTACTGCCCTCTGCACTCGGGCAGCTGTGTGGTGTGTGGGTGCGATGAATCTCTACCGCCTGACTTCGAGGCCACCAAACGAGTATCTGATGTCAAGTACGATGCGAGTGGCTTCGTGGGTGTGCAGAGCGACGACCGCAATCTGATTATTTGCTCATTCCGTGGCACTAAAAGCAAGACCAACTGGGGGAATAATTTCAAGGCTGTGTACTGGAGTGCGCGGTCGGTGGGCTTTGATGAGGCTCCGCGAGACGCGTTTGTGCACCTGGGTTTCTGGAATACGTTTGCGAGTATCGCGGATGAAGCGCTGGAGGAGGTTGTGCGACTGAAGGGGTTGTATCCAGACCATTTGGTGTGTGTTACTGGGCATTCTCTCGGGGGAGCACTGGCAACGTACTGTGCGCTGAAACTCGCGCTCATAGGTATCGAGGTGGCGGGGTATACCTTTGGACAGCCCAGAACTGGCAATGGAAAGTGGGCTGCGTATTTCGACAAGCATGTGCCTCACTTCTTTAGAATCGTGAACAACTATGATGTAGTACCTCATCTGCCGGTACGAGCTACCGGGTATACTCATATAGGGAAACAGCTATGGTTCACGTATCAAATCAAAGGGAAGGAGGCGAAGCTGATCAAGACGAACCAAAACAACGTACATTTGACAGACAAGATGAACAGATCCGAACTGAAAGTCAAGCCCCTCAATGGCGTTCCCTTCTACAAACTAAACATCGTCGACCATCTGGTGTACTTTGAGCGTGTCACTGGTCGCGCTAAAGTCTGCAAACCAGGTACTGAGGAGGCTCTTCCCAAGCGTAAGTACGGCCCTGTAACCCTGTTTGAGAAGTCGTTCTGTGACTTTATCAGCAATCCCCAGCACTCCACCCTCCTGCTGGTGTACACGTGTCCCGCACAGAGCCCCGCGTGGAAGCAACATCCAGGCAGGAAACGGTTGCGAGAGCTCGACAAACGCTACAGGCATGAGAAGCAAAATCTTTTGTTTGCCGAGATCAATACTGCCAGAGAGACAGTGCCGCCGATGTTCAGGATTGAGGATGTCGAATATGATAGCGTGGTAGGGGGTAGCGGTACAGTCGTCAGTGACGATGTCATGTCTCGGTATTCACGCTTATGGTTAGTACATAACAAAGAAGGACGATTGAATGAGAAGTGTGCGAAGGTGGTGGAATATGAGCCCAAGCATGCTGTTAACTTTTGTGAGAAACACGTTAAGGCTTGCAAGAAAAAGGTTGTGAACTTCAGAGAGGAGCTAGTATGGAAAACTGGTCAGTCGTGTCATAAATTGGCGCACAGGTCAAGTCGGTCGCGTGACTCCGATAAAATGCATGACTCCGTCCAGGAAATTGACGTATAATAAATAATTGGCTTAGCTGAGTTGATCAAAATCCTTTTGGAATGTGACTATGAGAGCGCAATTGTTTCACCTACAACACATAACGCAACCATTCGTCGTATTTTTGTTTTTTGAAGTGCATATTCTCAATATGGCAAAAACTTTTTATGGGCTCTCACTGTAGCCTTTGTCCTCACTGAACAGCAGATGTGCACCCACCACGTTTGTACCGCAACAATATATTTCTAAAAGCCTTCAGACATTCAAAACTTTATGAACCAAACTAGACACATGATTCAAATTTGTATGTTGCGAGATTGTGGTGGAAGTCGTCTAACTACCAAGCAAGTGCTTGGCGACGCTTTGTAAACTATTTCAGAGACTGGCGATGCTGTCAACATATTTAGCAGACTTCAGTGCATCGCATTCCTCCTTCGATCGCTACAAGCGATTTCAGCCTGGGGGTGCGTAGTCCCACTTTCTAATTTCTACAAATTTAAATGTAAATGTGAACGAAGTTTCGGGACCCTCTGACTAATTTGAATCCCGTGTTCATAATTCGCTATGAAACATTCATTGGCTGTGATCGTCGACACTATCAGGCATGTTTACTTCTATCCAGAATAGGGATCTACAAAATGGTTATGGTTTGTTGACGGACATGGGAAGCCGGAAAGATGACATCAGCTATCAAGCAGATATACAGACAGATTAAAAATTGGGCAACGTCCAGAGGGCACCAGTACTCTTTTGTTGGTACCTACTGTGGTGTGAGCCGGCGTCGACATAGCCCTCAAACATATTCGCTGTAGTCACTATTGTTGGCCAGTGGTCACAAGCTGAAGTGCACAGCAACTTCATTGGTGGGAAGCATTTCACAATCAGAGTCTGGTTGGTGAACCTGGTAGCTCATAAGAACCGATGGATGCTTAGCTACAGATATGTTTACTAGTTTATTTATAGCTTGCCGAGTGCTCGCAGACGGCGTATTTGCATGTCGCTTAGTTTGCCGGCATCCATTAGCCCTTGGATTTGTGTTTGATCCAAGTCTTCGATCTTCACCTAATGGTATGCAGTAGGGTTGTCACGACATGAGATTTTTCAATTGGGGGCGCACGAACGGGAACTGTCCACAATCATTGCATAAAAAAAGACAGAAACATGTATAATTATTCATGTGAGTTATTTACAATCGCACATCTGGCGGGGTTTTCCGACTATACTAACACTGAGGTAGAGCGCGATCCTTCGGTAGATACATACTGACGTAACAGGGCTTGTACACGCTTGCAGCATTAAATACTATCAAAAACTGCTTCAATCATTCCGTTGACCATTCGTATCTAGTTCACTATAGCACCCACGCAGTTGACATACGCAATTGTGAAGCAACACGAGCACAACAATCTCTTGGTTTCCTGCCTTTGCTTCAAATCTATTACGAACTTCAACTGCACCGTAGTGATATGAAGGCAAGCAAACATACCGCTCGTTGCTTGATTCCGTCTCCGTAGTGCGACCTCAGATCCACCTTGGCAACCTGCGTGCATAGGGAGCCATAATTGAGCTGAACAGACTGATGGACGATTTTTCAAATAACTTGCGATAACTGAGGTCGCGCAGAGAGCTACCATTAGCATCCCCAGAGAAAACCAAATGCACAATCTAGATATCAGGTATGCATAACAAAAAAACAGCAGAACACAATCACTATATATGTATATTAATAGAACAAGATGCAAAATGACAGATATATTTGAAAATAAACTTGTATATATGTTTGTATTTATATATTACATAAACATATATATATATATATATGTGTGTGTGTGTGTGTGTGTGTGTGTGTGTGTGTGTGTGTATTATGTATATATATATATATATAATATATATATATATATATATATATATAAATAATATATATATATATATGTATATATATACATTCATATATATATATATGTATATATATATATATATGTGTGTGTGTGTGTGTGTGTGTGTGTGTATATATATATATACATATATGTATATATATATATATGTGTGTGTGTGTGTGTGTGTGTGTGTGTGTGTATAATATA